CAAAGTCACACAGCTACTCAGTAGCCGAGTGGGAATGCAGACCCACTCGTGTGTGACTCAGAGCACTGACATCCAGAAAATTCCAGGGAGGATCTCTCCATATACTAAGCCTTGTGTCTCCCTGGCAGCCTGGGTATGCCAGTGCCTGGGCTGGGTTATTTCAGTTCACACTCGCTCCCTCTGCCTTGCAAATACCAGACCATCCTGGGAAGTAGCCGGCTCCCAGAACTCAGCTGGGAGCACTGTCTTCTCGAGCGGATGCCATGGGGCTTTGAGCTGCTCTGATGAAAGACAAACTGCGGGTATTTTTACGGGTCTCTGAGGATGCTGGCAGGATTACCTCGTGCCAGGAATAACAATGAGGGGCCTAGGCGAGCTCACTGCCAGCCCTGCTCTGGGAGACATCACTGGAGGAGGCGAGCCAGGCGGTGGGAAGGGAAGGGGGCCTGCGGGTGGGAGGGCAGGGCTGGGTTATTTATCCACAGCTGTCTCCAAGGAGGGCTGCTGGATCACCCCAGGGACTCTGAGCACGGGAAGGGGCCCCTGTGGTAGTCAGAGCAAAAGGCTGGGAGGTGTGTGAGAGTGGGAACCACAGCCATGCCAATCATCAACATGCTAGTCAGAATAGCGAGCCTTTATTGAGGACCCCTGTGTGCCAGGCACTGTGTTTGCTTTTTGCATCCCCATTAGGTGCCAGATATGGTGTAGCTGTTTTGCACTTACTAGCTTAATGCTCATAATAACCCCATGAGATACGTATTATTAAAATGCCCACAGGAGGAAACTGAGGTTCAGGGGGGTTAAGTAATTTGCCTAACGTCACATCGTTTGTAAGCGGTTGCGGTTTGAATAGAGGTTTAGCTAATTCTAAAGCCCAGTCACTTAAATGCTCTGCTGCCTTTCTGTTCACAAACTTGTGTCAAATTCCTATTTGGGTCAAGCACTACACAGGGTGACTTGACCAGGGGAATATAATGTTGAATAAGACCCATCCCTGTCTTTGGGCCGTGTGGTTAGTTGAACAGTGGCCCCGCCAGAAGGTACGTCCACATCCCAGAATCTACGAATGTGAGCTCATCTGGCAAAATAGGTTTTGCAGAGGTAATTAAGTTAAGGATCTTGAGATCGTCCTGGGTTATCTGGGTGGCCCTAAATCCAATGACAAGTGTCCTTACAAGAGACAGAAGGGAAGACAGAAGAGGAGAAGGCCACGTGAGGATGGAGCAGAGACTGGAGTTGTGCAGCCACAAGCCAAGGGATGCCTGGAGCCTCCAGACACGGCAAGAGGCAAAGAATTCTCCCCGTGGGCCTTGAAGGAAGGTTCATCAGACCCGACGTACTAGGTCCAGCCCAGACACTGGAGGGGGTTATTCAAGGGCTTGGATCCTGGGAGGTGCGATCACGGGGGGCCATCGTAGAGGATGCCTCTCACAGTGGCAGAAGGCGGACTCCCACCTGCTATTTGTGTGGCTCTCCCAAGTCATCTGGCTCCGGACTGTAGGTGGCACGTGTGTGGGCTCCTGAGCTGGATTCTTTATACATATCACACCACGTAGTAACGTTTAATGCTCACCTGAATTCAGCAAGGGGAGGCGTTCTCACCCCCATTTGACAGAGGGGGTAACTGAGGCTCAAAAGATGAAGGCCACACAGTAGCATGTAGAGTAAACCAGTGGTTCTTGACTTTGGCTGCATCAGAATCCCCAAAGAGAGTTTCTGGGCTCCATGCACAGAACTTTTGAGTTAGTAGGTCTAGCATGGAGCTGGAGAGTTTGCATTTCAGAGAAGTTCTCAGGTGAAGCTGATGCTGGAGGTCTGTGGACCACACTTTTAGAAGCACTGGAGAATCAGTGTTGCAGGGACAGGGGAACCCTGGAATGTTAGTGAATTAACAAATAAAATGTATTTCTGGCTCAAGTTGCAGTCCTGTTGGCGTTAGTTGGCTCTCCTCCATCCATGCACTGTTTGGAGCCTGTGGTCCCCAGAGTTGCCATGGAAGAAGAAAGAAGGCGAGAGGGTCTTGTAGGATGTTCTAAAGGGTGAGGTCCGGAAGTGACTTTCCTGCCTTCTGCTCACACCCCATTGGCCAACACTCAGTCACGTGGCCCCAAACAACTGCAAGGGAAGCTGGGAAATGTAGTCTTCCTCAGGAGGAGGTGATGGTGCGACGAACATGCAGCTGGTCAGAGCCAGGCTAGGACTTGATCTCAGGCTCTTTCCCCCTTCATCTTTTGTTTTTTCAAGTGCTCTCAGTGGACTTTCTCATATTAGCCCGATTCAAGGGACTTTTTTTTCCTGTAAAAATTGAAAAAAGAGAAGAGGAAAGAAACGTTCCTTGGGTCCATCAGTGCATTCGGTTGCCGGCAGCCTTGCCTTCTACGGGGCCCAGGTGCTCAGCTGAACGGCTGCTGAGCACTTTGAAAGCCTGTAGCATTTCTGTAGGGGTTTCTTGCATGAGTTTCATTTCTACCATCTTAAGCAACGCAGGGTCACCCTCTCCAGCATTGGAGGAGCCCTGTGGCTACTGCTTCTTCAAGGCCTAAAGCCTGAACTCAGGGCCACAGACAAGCTCCAAGTGGAAAATATGCCGTTCCTGCCTCTCCCCACCCTGCTGCTCCAGACTGTTCCAGACGCCTGCAACACCTGCAGGTTCCAGTTTTCATGCCTTTGGACACACGGTGACATCTGCCTGAATGCGCTCTCTTCCCTCCAGACTCAACTCAAGTGACACCAGCTCCATGAAGCCTTCATCGGTTAGTCAAATGAACATTCAACTTGCCCTCATTTTGGAGCAGAGGTGGGGAAGACAGGCCTCTTTGTCTATGCCTGTGGTCCAGCACTTGTCATGGCCTGTGCAGACTCTAAAGGCTTTTGCCCGTGCCTGTTTCTCCTCGCGGAATGTGACGTGTTTAAGAGCAAAGACCGCGTGGCCTCCTTTCCTGGCTTCTTCATTACCTGCAAGACTGAGGTCAAAAGACTTCCTGTGAAATGCAAAACCCTCCCCAAGATCCAGAGGTGAAGAGTGAAGTCTCTGGCATGGGTCGGAATCCCAGCTCTGCCACTTGTGCAAGTTTGGGCAAATTCTTAGCTTCGCTGGACTTCAGTTTTCCCATCGGTACAGTTGGGCTAATGATGTTGTACGTATTCCATGAAATAATATGCCTAAAGCCCTTTGAACAGTGCCAAGCGCATGGGAAACTGTCGAGACGTGCCAACTATCGCTCTGTTATCATCATTACTCTTGGTATCACCCTCTCGACCTTGGCACACACCAGCCACAGCAACTTATTTCCTTGCTGACGGTTTTGGTGATTTTGCACGTCTCTCTGCTTTTGCACTTGGTGTTTTTCAGCTTGGATGTCCCTGTCTCTCACCTATTCATTCATTCATTTAACAGAGTTTTTGCTGAGCTCCCAACTACTCACACTGGAAACTCATCTCAGTCAGCCCTTCCTGGCCAGTCCCACTGGATTTACCACTCCTGTTTCGAAGTCTATTTACTTTTTCTGTATCTCTGTGACTAACTTGAGAGCAGGAAAAAAAAAAAAAAAAGTTATTTTCCCCACTGGATTTAACTGCTCTGAATCCAGGTCCTAATATCATGGGTGGCACGTAGTAGGAGCTTAATAAATATCTGTTGAATGAATACATGAATGTTGATCATCTCCAAATCTGGCCCCAATGCCAGAGAATGCAATAACTTGGCATCAGGCATAGCAGGGGGATCTGCAAAGCTCGGGCACTGGGAGGTCCTTCAGGAAGATGAAATCAGCAGCCGTGGAACAGCAGCCTGAGCTGGAATCTCTTTCCTTTAGGTACCAGGGGCTCAGCATCTCCAGGGGTGGGATGGGGGTGGGCAGATCCCATGTGACGTACTGTTTCCAGTGCGTCTGGGCTTTTAAAATGATGATTAATATTATTATTAATGATATTTCCTGATACAAGGAGAGAGGGCATCCTTTACAAGCACAGGGCTTGCTTCATGGAAAGCACCCAAAGTATGTTTGAATGGTGAATGCTGGTCCAGTCTACAGAGCACATCCAGTTAGTTGACAACTATGCATTGATTGCCTTTTAGGGGTCAGGTGCTACTCTGGGTGCAGGAGATGGGAGTTCTGCAGTAAACAAAATACAGAAGACCCCTGCCTTGGGGAGCTCACCTTCTAGAGGGAACAAGGAATTGAGCTAAGCTATTAGTTTGAATTTTCTCTCTCCTCCAGGGGTGGCCAGCTGCCCCCCCGCCCCCCCCCCGAATTTTCCTCTTCTTTTGTAGAGCAGTGGTTCTCAACTAGGGGGTGAGTTTGCACCCCAGAAGATATTTGACAATGTCTGGAGATAGTTTCGTTTGCCATGAGCTAGGTGTGTCTGTGTTACTAGCATCTAGGAGATAGACGTTGAAGAGGCTACCCAGCATCCTACCATGCACAAGACCGCCCCACAAGAAAGACTCTTACAGCCTGCAATACCAACAGCTCGACGCGGAGAGAGAAGGGGCTTCTTAGCCAGTGACTGCATTTCCCAGCTTCCTGTGAGGCTGGGTGTGGCCACGTGACTGCTTCTCGCCAATGGTGTGTGAACAGGAGTGCGGTGCCCACACCCAGGTGCAGAGCTTTTAATAAGTGGACGGACCTCCTTCTGCTTCCTCAGGTTGGAGGAAGAGAACAACAAGGTCCCAGGTGACAACGGAGCCACCTGGGGCCCTAAATCGCCACGTGGGGAGAGCTGTCTAGCCATCAAAGACGCTCTCCTTGGACCGTCATGGGCATAAGAAATAAACTGCAGCGTTTCAACCCTATGCACTTCTGGGTCTCTCAGTGATAGCAATTTAACCCACCCTAACTTCTGTAGTCTTGACAATAGTTCTTCAAGGAGAAGAACAGCCAACATTTATTGAGCACACAATATGAGGCAGACACTAAGCTGTTTAAATGTAAGATCCCATTTTGTCATCATACCAACCCTATGAAATAGGTACTATCATTACCCTTTTTTTTTTACAGATAAAGAAACAAAAGTGTAAGGAGGTGAGCAGGGCACTTAAGTACCAAATGGAAGTTTTATGACAGATCCCAGCCTCAACCACCAAAAGCCAGTTCCTTTCTCCATCCTCAATATCTCTTCACTTGAGCATCATCTCCCCACAGGGTCACCGTAACTGTTCTCTCTTTGGTCCCTCTGCCTCCATTTTGGACACTGCAGGTAGGCTGACGTTTTGAAAACCAATCTGCTAACTTCATCATGTCTTGCTGCTTCTCCTTTAGGCCATACACCCGGGGCTTTGGCTGTCCCGCAAGAGGAAAGGATTATTCTTTTTCCAAAATTATTCTTGCTCTGCAGAGGGAATCACAGTTGAAGTAACAAGCTTCCCCTGTGTATTCTTAAGAGTTCAAGCAAGGATTGTTGCACCATCTCCTGGGAACACTGTTGAAAGGATTCTTACATTGGGTGGGAGGTTCATTCCAACCAGCCATTGCTACGGTTCTGCAAAACACAGCTAATTGCATAATGTAAAATGAACCCAGTTTTTCAACTTCGTTCAGCTCTCAGATTCTATTTGTTCTATTAAAGACCGTATTGACTTTGGAGAGCAATGTGGCAGTCTCACACTATAGCAACTTTACTCCTAACTACACTCCCCAGAGAACTCTCGTGTGCAAAGGAGAAATGTAGGATTTATAACGCAGAAAACTGCTACGCTAAATGTCCATCCACAGGAGAATGGACAAAATAAACTCCTACAAAGAGTATGATGGAGGAGTGGAAATAAATAAACTAGAGCTACGCGTGGCAAATACAGGTGAATCTCAAAAACGTAATGTTAAGCATAAAAAGCACTTCGAAGAAGGATAAGGTAGAGTATGATGTCATAAATAATGTTATATATTGTGCCAGTCCAGGTCCCAGCAGGAAACAGAAGGCACCCTTGGAATTCTGAAGAGAAGGAAAGGAAAGAGTCATTTACAGAGGTGGCAGGTGTGATAGATTGTTTCGTGGCCACAGATGCCTCCCATCCCATTATGTATTCTTCCTTTGCTGCTCCTTTCATCCAGATACGGAATTAGTTTCCATCCCTTTTAATCTGGGCTGGTTTTGTGACTTGTTTGAACGAATAGATTATGGCAAAACTGACTTGGAGTGAATTCCAGAGATCTTGCAATTTCTGCTTTCACCCTTTTGGAATGCTTCAGATATCACGAAAAGAAGCCCACGCTAGCCTACTGGAGGCCTCATGGAGAGAAAGACCCAACCACCAGCCAACAGCAACCACCTGACACCCGAGTGAGACCATCCGGGGCCAGCCAGCTCCCAGGTGAACATCGGTTGGTTACAAATGTATCAGTGAGTCCAGCCAGCCATGACCGCGGTGAGCAGAAGAGCTTCCTAGCTGAGCCCTGCTCAAATCACCAGCCCACAGAGTTATGAATTAAAAAACGGGTTAATGTTTCAAGCCGGTAAGTTGTAGGGTGGTCTGTTATGAGCATACAATCAACCTTGAAGAGTTAAGGAAACAAGAAGTACTGAGGCCTCTAGGAACTACCAAGGCGGGAGTTTCCACAGCAGTGCAGTAGCATTGGCTGCAGGAATGCAGTGGGGGGCTGGAGTCTCATCAGGGGGGCCACCTCAGAACCCCAGAACCGCAGCAGAGATGCAGTTGGGGAGAAGTGAGTACTCCAATCTCTCTCTCTTCCTCCCACCAGTCTCCGTCCAGGCCCTCCTACTGGCTGAGCCCGGTCAGAAACCAGAAGGCAAGGGAGACCGGGAGATGCCATTTTTGGGGGTCAGCCCCCTCGGGCACAGAGAATGGATGTGGCTGGGACTGGGGGCAAACGGAGAATATACCAGGACGGGGTTGCTCCCAAACAGCAGACTGTAAGGACTGCTGTTCTCGTTTAAGGGAATGAGAAACCACACATCAGGAGAGAGGTTCTCTCTGGGGAAGGAGGGATTTCTACCTTGAAGAAAGTAGGGGGTGCTTTCATATATGCATGTTTCCATATAGGCTCCACGTGCAAGGGAAGGAAAGGCATTTTAGGCAGGCTCACTGCACCTGACTCTCCACCATGCCCTTTCACAGGAGCCGTATATAAACTAGGTGTGTAGAACCATCCCATGAGAGTGTGGGCTAAATTACCTCTTCTTCCCAGGTAAGAGGGTCAGAGGGTGAGAGCGACCCCCGGCCCTGTTGCTCGGCGCAAGGGCTGCTGAGTTTCAGATTTAAGTCCGTCCACCTCCAGCACCTTTGTCTGGATGAAAGACCCTCCCTGGTGTCATGGCAGGTACATACCTTTTGCCCATATCTGTCTGTTCCTTCTTCTCTGTTTCTCCCTTCTTTTTTTTTTTTTAACATCTTTATTGGAGTATAATTGCTTTACAATGGTGTGTTAGTTTCTGCTAGGTAACAAAGTGAATCAGCTATACATATACATATATCCCCATATCTCCTCCCTCTTGCGTCTCCCTCCCTCCCACCCTCCCTATCCCACCCCTCTAGGTGGTCACAGAGCACTCAGCTTATCTCCCTGTGCTATGCAGCTGCCTCCCGCTAGCCATCCATTTCACGTTTGGTAGTGTATATATGTCCATGCCACTCTCTCACTTCATCCCAGCTTACCCTTCCCTTCTTTTCTTTTCAGTTGGAGGAAGAGAGAAAATGATCCCAGAATATTATTTGTCTAAGAGGAACGTTTAAGATAAAATAGGCTATGTGAGGCCTGCCATTAATCGTCCCCACAGCACCTGGCCTAGGTGGGAGCCGGGATCTGTGGTGATGGATAGGAATGTTTTTCGAATTCAGCTGTCAAAGCCCAGCAGTCATCCCTGCCTCCTGGGTGGAACGTTTACAATCTTCCTCTTTAGCGGCGTCTTAAGACACACAGGCACTTTTGTTTCCATGGAGAGCCCACTCTTCCCTCTAAGGTAAATTGCCCGCTTGCCTGCCCTTCCTCCCGTCTTTCCCTCTTTCCCTCTGTTTCTCCCTTTCCTTCTCTTTCTCCTTCATTTGCTCCCCAATTTCCTCTACCCTTTCCTCCTTCCACTGAGCTTCCCGCCAGCAACGGGGCGGAATGAGAGCCTTTATCCTCCCCGCAGGGGAGGGCAGTGCGTGTCCTCCCCTGATGCTCCTGTGGAGAGGTTCTCAGAAGCCTCTGGGGCTGAGAAATCTCACCTAGATCTTTGCATTGTTGTCTTCCTAAGAGCTTATTTTGCAAAGAGCTCAGAGCCAGGGAGTAAGGCGGGCCCCAGGCCCCGGGAGGATGTTGCTGGTGGCCCCAGGCGTCTCACTTCATCTCTCAGTTTCTTCACTTGCAAAGTGAGACTCAGTCTCCCCAGAGCCATCGTGAAAAAATGCTGGCGAGGGTGGCAAGTAGATTCCTTCCTGTTAGTCACCCAGGTCACTCAGCTGACACCTCTGCCTTTTGGCCCTGAAGTTTATTTATTAACAGCCTTCAAAGGGAGGCCAGGGGCCTCCTGGGGGTGGAGCCCTAAGAGGCCGAAAGCCATGGGCTTGGGCAGGTAGAGCAGGCGGGGCACTCTGGGGCTGCCTTTGTAGTTTCTGGGGAGTTTCAGAGATGCCAGTGACCATCAAGAGCGGTGCCTGCGTGTTTGGAACCAAAGAGGAAGATAAAGCTAGTCTCAGGGCATGTGTCTCTCGCCTGTAAGGAGCTCTAAATATGTGCTTCTGAGTGTGTTTGTACAGTGTGAAGGCGGCTCTGTGCGCACACACGAGCACACCTACATGTGCCTGTGTCTGTGTGCGCGTGTCATGTGTCTGTGAATGGATAGTATGAAGGTGAGTCTGTGCATACACACGAGAGTCTGCGTGATGTACGTATGTATAGTATGAAGGTAGGTCTGTGTACACACAAGCACCCGTACGTGTGCACGCGGCAATGGTGTGTGCGTGTGTGCACGCGCACGCTCCCCATGGGTGGGCCTTGAGCACTTTGATCAAGAGCCACCACATTTTGCATCCGGCTCGAGGGTCCAGTTACAGAATAGGAATCCTTAACATATAGCGAGAACGTTCAGATGTTCAGCTGAGGGGATGAGGTTGGTTTGGGAGGCTCGGTGCCCTAAACGGAAGCCCCTCTGTCCCCACACTGCCTGCGAGGGAGTGAGGCCTTTGCCTGAGAGCAGATGTGTGTCCCTGTGGCCTCGTTTTGCTCTGGGATGGGACTTGGTGGCAGGGAACGCAAGCTCAGGTGTTCATGCATTTCCAGAATGTGTCTGATTTGAGTCGGGATTTCATTAGGAGTAACTGCATGTGTGTGTGCTTGGCTCCAGCTAAGTATGTGATGATGCCTCTTTCCTTTTATCCTCCCTCCCCCGCGCCTTCCCTCCCCCTCTCCCTCCCACACATACTGTGCATCTTCTCTTTGCCGGGCCCTGTTCCATGGGCCAAGGCTGCAAAAATGATTCAGAAATAGTCCCCATCATGAGAAACAACCAGTGTGTTTAGGGTAAAAGGTTAGGAAGCTGCAATAACAGAACGTAGCCGTGGAGGGGACACCGGGCATTCTGGGGGCACAGACGGGAGCCCCTCGTCTCTCAGGGACCCCATGAAAGGCTTCCAGGAGACAGCGATGCTTGAACTAGATCTAGAAAGTGGAGGAATTCACCAGCTTTGTAAGAAAAGCTGCTATTGTTTTCAGGAGATGGTACTTTGGGGCACAGGACAGAGTCATCTACTCATGTCTGGAGGACTCTAAGAGGTCACAGGGCCTTTGTTAAAAATGACTGGTCTGTGATACAGCTTTGTACTAGAAAGATCCTGAAGGGGGAGGGCAAGCACTGCAGGGCAAGCAAGGATTAGAAGACGAGCCTCTTTACTTCTATTTGCCAAGTTAGACTTCCGAAGGAGGAAGGAACGAGTGTGAAGCAGGGAATGTGCGCTTACTGAGCACCTACCGTGTGTCAGGCGCCTCTTGTCTCATTGTGTCCTCACCGACAGGTCTGTAGGTAGGAGGTTGGTTAACCCCATTGTACAGCTGGGGAGACTGAGACTCAGGTCTCAGACCAGGCAAAGAACAGGACTTTGAATCACAAGGTATATGGCTCCATTCCCAAGCCTGTGCCTCTTTCCAACAAACCCCATTGCCTACAAGAATCTTCTCTAGAGAACATAGCACTGTGGCCAATAGACTTCTTGTCAAGGATCATAAACTTGGAATTCAATATAAAGTCACTACTGTTCCTCCCCCAAGGAAAAACCCGAACGCCTGCCCCTTTTGAAAAAACAGCATGTCTTGGTGGGACGGACTATTAATATACATCGTCATGACATCAGTATCGCAGGCTCTTTCTTTTGGGGAGCCAGGATGTTGCTGATTTGCATACTGCTTTGCATTCATTTGCATTTACTCTCCATATGCAAAATCAAATGCAGCTAATTAGTGCAACCTTGTTACAATGAGAAGCAGGCCCAACCTTCTGTGCCAGGGCCTATGGAGCCCAGAACTGGGACCCAAACCACCCAAAGCCAGTCACATCTTGGGTCAGACACACCGGAGCGTTGAGAGGGAGATGCACACCCTGAATGAAAAACGGGATGGCTGAGTATCATTATTTTTCAACTACTGTCCCTTTGAAGTAACTATGGCAGAGAGAGAGGGTGAGGGGAGAGAGAGAGAGACAGAGATCAAAGGATGCGGCAGAATTTCCTCGGAGAAAGAGCACAGAATTTGGAGCCCAAAGGCCTCAGATGAAATCAGCATTGGAGTTTGGCTTTGCCACTTACGGGCTGGGGGACTTTGCACTTACAGGCTGTATGGACTTGTAGGGATTACATGGGAATAAAATGGACGAGAATGTACTTTGCAAATGTTAAAGCACGATATAGAGGTCAGGGCTTCAGGCCAGGCCACCTCTGGTGACAGAAGGCAGCACCAGGGTCAGCTGGGGACAGAGGCTCACAGTCTTGCAGGGTCCAGACCCCAAATATGATGGGAAATATATCTATGTCTGTGTCTCTATCTCTATCCCCATCAGCTAGCATTTAATAAGCACACGAACCAAACGCTGTGTTAAGCACATCACAGTCATTATTTCACTTAATGATTCCCATGAACACTCTGAGAGGCATGTATTATTATGACCCCACTTACAGATACCACCACGGCAAAAACGTGCCTGCCAAGCGCACCAAGATAACTCTTGCCAAATGATTAAGAACCTTCTCTCCCGAGCGGTGATGGTGACATTCATGGTTTACACTGCCCTACCCCGCCCCCCTCTTCTAGCCTCCATGCAGACTATGGTCTTTTTACTAAACAACTTCTTTCACATTTGCCTAGTTGGGACCATTTGGATTTGGTTTTGGCTTTTATTCTATGTCCTCTGAGGACTTTTTTGTTTTTTTTCTCACCTGGTCATTTTGATTAGACTTGAGTATTTCAGCTCCATAGTCACATTTCATTACTTAGGACAGTCTCTGCAGAGAGCAGCTCCCATCGACCAAGGTAGATTGCATTATGGTTCACAAACTGGGATCTGTAAACCACGATGGAGGTGGGATTATACCCCATGAATATATAGCCTGGCCGTGTGGCTTTGCTCTGGCCAGTGACGTGTGAGTGGAAGCAATATGTGTTGCTACCAGGCAGAAGACAGCGTGCGGTTTGTCATGTATTTCTTTCCCTTCTGACCTGATGCCCAGCTATGTTCTAGATAGAATCTGCTCCACAACGGGGCCCTGGAATAGACGCACCGTGGAACTTCTGGTGGGCAAGTTACGTGAATAAGAAGTAAATCTCTAATTTTGCAAGCCTTCGAGCCTCAGAAGATTATTTGGTTCAGGAGATAACAGCCTATCCTGATGGAAACATTCTCTTTCTATTAAATATTATGAGATTAGTGCTCGTATGAACTGACTAGTTATATTGTAGATAACTGGACACTTATCCCTATGATATTGTCATCACTCAAAATATTGTGTACTTCCATTTTGAAAACGGCTTTAAAATTATAAAATATTACTACTACTGACAACAGCTAATGCTTTGCAAGCATTATCATATTTAATCTTGACAACAGCCCTGTGAGGTAGGTTCTCTTAACTTCCATTTTCCAGACAAGAGAAACACGATCTCAGAAATGCTCACTAATGAGTCAAGAACACACAGCTAAGAGGAGGGTCAAGATTTAAATCTGCATTCTTCTCAGGTACAAACCCTAATGTCATTATTTTCTACTCATACTTTCCCCGACAAAATGGATATTAACAGGCTGAGTCACACACCTGACTCATCAGAGATGATTACAGGTATTTTGGCTGCTTATAAAAAACCAAAATAGTTATTGAGTAATGAAAATCACATTGGTCTTGATATTAGAAGCTACCGGGGGCGGGGGTCGGTTTGTAGCTATTTCTTATAAGTGACCTTATTATGTGACCTTGGGCTAGATTTTTTTTCCCCTCTGCACCCTGGTATTTTCATCTGTAAAATGGAGCACTTTGCTTCAGACCACATGGTTCATGAATCTGAAGGATGGGGTCCTTCCACCCCCTAAAAATGTATGCAAAACATTGTATGTGTATTTTTTTCTGGGTAGAGGATTCATAATATTCATCAGGTCCTGGAAAAGTTCTGTAACACCCTAAGGATGAGGAACTCGAATTCTCTCCTTTGTTGAGTATGACTTATCCCTTTCCCCAGAAGAAGTGGGTGTAGGAGCAAGGAGAATTCAGGCTGACTAAATCACATTTGAGTCGTATGCGTTGAGTGTCAGTCTTATCAAAGAATAACTGGAAGGCAAGCTGTATCAGTTTAGTAAAAATAATCATTAAAAAATGTTTCTGTCTCACATTCCTGTGGCTCCTTGCAGCTTACACTGCACAGAAGCTGTTCTTTTGTCTTCCTGGCCAGGGACTGTGTCATTA